CTATCTTCAGCAAGTTTCATTTGATGTTTTCTTTTTATCTTTTATTTTGTTTTGTTTTGAGACAGAGTCTTGCTCTGTACCCTAGGCTGGAGTGCAGTGGCGTGATCTTGGCTCACTGCAACCTCCACCTCCCAGGTTCAAGTGATTCTCCTGCTTCAGCCTCCCAAGTATCTGGGATTACAGGCACGTGCCACCATGCTTAGCTAATTTTTGTATTTTTAGTAGAGAGGAGGTTTTACCATGTTGGCAGGATGGTCTCAATCTCTTGACCTCATGATCCACCTGCCTTGGCCTCCCAAAGTGCTGGGATTACAGGTGTGAGCCACCGCACCCAGCCGATGTTTCTTTTCTTTTACATCTTCACCATCTCCACACAGAAATACTTTCCTTTTAAATGGACATTCAGTAACTGAGAGGGATGTGGCTGTTCTGTATTTAAAATTAACCTAGGAGTATGTTGTCTCTGAAAAACTGTACATCAGATTGCCTCACAGATCACAGCTGAGGCAGATGTCCTCAAGTGAGCCCTCACAGGCTGCTTGGGGAGAAGGGAAGGGGTTACCGCACTGAGAGTGGAAGCGCTGTTCTCTCTATATACACATGGGTGGATACATTTTTATTCCATCCAACCCCATTTCCAGTCTGCTCTGATGGAGACAAGTGACAAGAGCAAATGCTTCATGGGCTGTTTATGATCACACACACACACACACACACACACGCACGCGCACACACACGCACGCGCACACACACATACACGCCAGGATCAATGCATCCCCCTCTAGGGAAAGCAGTTGTATGAATGCTGCCCCACCCAGGAAAGCTGCAAGTTTGAGCAGCTCTGGAACCAAAGGCCTTTGTATGAGGAATTATCAGGCACTAAGCAGAGGCAATTCCAAACCGGTTCCACCAGTGTGGCAAGGAGACTGATTCAGACTCCTCAGAGGTTTCTTCAAGTATAACAGACACAAGCAGCCCAGTTTCCTTTAAGGAGTCATAGGAAAGGACAACCTAGTCAAGCGGTAAGGGAAAGACATCACTGGGAACCTTTAGTCATGTGGACATGGGGCAATAACATACCGGGGAAAAGCCACGATTGAGGTATAGAAGTTGCTGGGCACGAAAGACAAGCAGAGAAGGCTTCCCAGGAGAAGGGACATTTAAATTGTGGTGAGAAGGAGAATTTGCCAGAAGGATGGTATAAGAAGCTGAACCTTTAAAAAATGTCTTAAATATCGTATAATTCCACTTAGGACATCATCTTAAAACTTAATAGGGAATATTTATTAGGACAGAAAAGAAACTCTAAGATATTTGAGTATATCACATAGAAATTAAGAAGACATTTTTAAAGAAAATTGTGTAACAGTTCCCACCGATATTGCAATACCCTGTTTATAACTGAATTAAAATTATTTGGAAATTATAAAACATCTAAAACAATGGCTTCTCTACCTTGAAAGAAAAAGTACTGAAAGAAAGGTATTGCACAAATATAGCCTAGTTTACATATAAAGATTTCAAGCAGTCAAATAATACTAATTTCTTTCATTTATTAACAAGCTTATTAACAGTTATTGGGTAAGTGAGACTACAGGAATAAATGATTCAAAAGAAATGCTTAAAGACCAGGCGTGGTGGCTTATGCCTCTAATCCCAGCACGTTAGGAGGCCGAAGTGGGCAGATCACAAGGTCAGGAGTTCTAGACCAGCCTGGCCAATACGGTGAAATCCTGTCTCTAGTAAAAATACAAAAATTAGCCAAGTGTGGTGGTGCATGCCTATAGTCCCAGCTACTTGGGAGGCTGAGGCAGGAGAATTGCTTGAACCCGGGAGGCAGAGGTTGCAGTGAGCTGAGATCGTACCACTGCACTCCAGCCTGGGTGACAGAGCAAGACTCCATCTCAGAAAAAAAAAACGTAATAATTAAAAATTGATTGCACTACCATTGGATCCAGCAATTTCACTCCTATATGTATATCTAAGAGAAATAAAAACATCCCTTTGCAAAAACATGGACACAGATGTTCATAGCAGCATTATTTATATTAATTATTTACAATAATTATTGTAAATAAAGACGGGAAACAGCCTGCATGTCCATCAACTGATGAATAGATAAATATGGCATATCCATACAATGGGATATTTGGCAATTAAAAGGAAAGAAGTACTAATACATGCTACAAAATGCATGAACCTTGAGAACATTATAATATTGTGAAAGAAGCCAGTCACAAAAGACCACATGCTGTATAATTTCATTTATGTGAAAAGTCCAGAAGAGACAAATTTATAGAGACAGAAAGTAGACTCATGTTTGCCCAGATCTAGAGGAACGCAGCTGGGCAGTTACTGTTAATGGCTATGGGGGTTCTGTGTGGGGTGATGAAAATGGTCTAACTTTAACATGTGGTGATGATCACACAACTCTGTGAATGTACTAGAACCACTGAATTGAACCCGTAAATGGATGTTTTTTATTGTACGTGAGTTAGATCTCAAAGATGTTTAAAGGCAAGTTGATTGCATTAAATTTCATGGACTATGAAATTTACGCTCTCTGAAGAAATGCTGCTGCCATTAAAAAGAATGGCAAAGTGCTTTCACTGAACAGATTAGTTTTATATTTTTGTCTCCTGGAATAAAGAATTCAGTTACCATAGCACGGATGCCATTTCCAGTGACAAAATGTCAGGCCTAATGTTACGGAGCTTCAAAGTATGCTTCAAAGTATGCCACAAGATCTCTAATGACCTCCAGTGGTCATGACTGACATTGCCGGGTTTATGATACACAAGCCTAGAACATGATGCACAAAGTGGTTATAATAAATGTGAAGTCTGGCCTGTGATTTTCTTATCTTGAAAGCTGCAAAGTTGGAGCAAAAGGAAACCTTGCCAATGACTATCATAAAATGTCCCTTCTCCCTGATTTTTCAACATTGACTGAAGCTCCCGTTTATCTGTGCCCTGTCTTTGTAGCCTCTTTCAACAGAGCCAAGAAGATGCCTGTCTCCTTCCAGTGACTCCATCGGGAGAGTCCGTTATCAATCTGCTTTGCTATGTGCACTTGGCTCTTGAAAAACAACAACAACAAATGTTTTGCTTTGTACCCACAGATGCAGGAGTAGCATCTGTGGAGAGAAGAGAAAAAAAAATGGCTGATCAAAAAGGATTGGAAGGAAAATGTGTAAGAAAGAGCAAGAAGCAAGTATTGCAAGATAAAATAAGCCAATTCGATCAGGCATAGGTCTCAGATACTTTCAGTAGCTATTTAAGACATCCAAAGGTTCGCCTCTCCTACAACCTCACCACCCAGTTCTAGTAAAAGCACCTAACACCAAATGATGCCACACCTAGAGTTTTTCTAAACAAACATTAGTAAATAAGCCCAAACAACTTCATACAGTCTCCTCTGTCGGCATGATGGAGTCCCAGCTCTCTCTCCTCTGGGTAAAAGATTTATTCAGTTGAAAAAGGACGATGTTTCAGAAATAGTATTCTATTATTATCACCCTCGTCGTTGGTCTCAGGCCACCAGAAATCCTCCAGACTAACATAGGCTATTTATTTAGCATTGAAGGCTGGAAAACCATCCTGCCATGTACCTGCTACCAGCCTGGCTGGATTCTTCAACCACACCCAGGCAAGCTGGAGGGCTCTCTAGAATCTTTCAGTCAGTCCACACATACCTTGAATACCTTTAATTTCACAAAAGAGAATTCGTTTCTAACATTCATCTGGCTAGTTAACAAGCCACTGGTTGTTTTGAGAATAATGTCTGATATTTGTTATGCTAGTTAGCAAAGCATCTGATAACAACTCAGGTATTAGGACCTTCCAGTCTGGAGCTGGCTAATGACCCCTAGGGTATATTCATTCCTGACCAGAACACAGGCTGCCCTGGGTGTAACTTCAACTCACAGATGTCATACCCGTCTATGCTGAGTGTTTTAAAGTAAATTACAGGTCGGGCACAGTGGCTCATGCTTGTAATCCCAGCACTTTGGGAGGCTGAGGCAGGCAGATCACCTGAGGTCAGGAGTTCGAGAACAGCCTAACCAACATGGAGACACCCCATCTCTACTAAAAATACAAAATTAGCCAGACGTGGTGGCACATGCCTGTAACTCTCAGCTACTTGGGAGGCTGAAGCAGGAGAATTGCTTGAACCCGGGAGGCAGAGGTTGCAGTGAGTTGAGATCGCACCATTGCACTCCAGCCTGGGCAACAAGAGTGAAACTCTGTCTCAAATAAATAAATAAATAAAAATAAAATAAATTATATAACATGAGGGAAGGATGAGAATAAGAAAGAACAAGAACACTCCTGCCATCCTTGACTATGGCTGTGTAAGTCTTGCCCATATTCCTAAACATTTCAACCACTGTCACTTGTCATTATATATTTTTAGATCCATCCATTCATTTAATGATTATTCGTGCCTACCTATGTCCCAGACATGAGTTTTTGCCAACATGAAACAGTCCCACCATGATATGAAAGTGTTAAATTGGCCAGGTGTGGTGTCTCACGTGTCCCAGCACTTTGGGAGGCTGATGCGGGGGGGATCATGAGGTCAGGAGACTGATATCATCCTGGCCAAAATGGTGAAACCCCATCTCTACTAAAATACAAAACATGAGCCGGGCTAATGGTGGTGTGCGCCTGTAGTCCCAGCTACTCAGGAGGCTGAGGCAGGAGAATTGCTTAAACCTGGGAGGTAAAGATTGCAGTGAGCCAGGATCACGCCACTGTACTCCAGCATGGTGGCAGAGCAAGACTCAATCTCAAAAAAAAAAGTGTTAAATCACCCCCACTGCTGCACTTCAGCCTCAAGGAGGAAGCAGGCACTGGGGAAGTCTGTTTATAAACCTTAAAATATTGATCGCTTTTTTTTTCTAGGAATAAAAAAGAAAATCTCTTAAAGGTTATATAAACATTTATATATGGTTTCTTTAAGAATTAATGGTAATTACATAATCAGGCTGCATTTACCTTAATTGTGATTTAGTGCATCGTAAAAAAATCTTGAATAAGAATTCTTGACGTTGCTTGTTAGTCCAGAGGTCAAACCAATGACTTATAAGAGCCACTCTTTCCTGAAAGAGCTATAAGGGGGAGAGGAGGAAGTGACATTTTGCTGTACAGTTCAACATGTTTTTAATTGCCAAGCAATCTTTAGACAATGTACCAGCAATCTCACAGCTAATATTTGCAAAGTGCATTACAGTTCACAAAGCACTTTCACAGAAAGTTCTCGCCTTTCAGGTTAAATTTTTAACCCAGGGATACTGACAGGCCCAGGCTTGCTGGGAGGGCTGGTGGGAAAGACTGGCAGGGATGTAATTATAGAGGGGCCCAAAAAGGACCTCTGGAAAACAAAGAGGTAATGATTCCTGGATCTTGTTTCTATCCAGGCTAATGTGGCCTAGAGAAACAGAGTCCAAACATTTCAACTTGAAAACATTGGCCGGGCGCAGTGGCTCACACCTGTAATCCCAGCACTTTGGGAGGCCCAGGTGGGCAGATCACCTGAGGTCAGGAGTTCGAGACCAGCCTGACCAACATAGAGAAACCCCATCTTTACTAAAAATACAAAATCAGTTGGTCATAGTGGCGCATGCCTGTAATCCCAGCTACTCAGGAGCCTAAGGCAGGAGAATCACTTGAACCTGGGAGGCGGAGGTGGCGGTAAGCTGAGATCACGCCATTGCACTCCAACCTGGGCAACAAGAGTGAAACTTGGTCTCAAAAAAAAAAAGGAAACATATACAGGCTACACTCATTTGATTGTGAAAACAGGACCATCTGAGGTAGGTATAACTTCACTAACCCAAAACCCTGGATCTTCATAGTACCCACCAAGATGAAACTTAGTTACGTATTGCTAAACAGCCAACAGAGACAGACTGCCTCTAGGGAAGAAATACATTAAGGACCAGAATCCTGCAAGCCTGGGTTTCGGTCCAGCTTTGCTCAGGTAGAGATAACAAAATCATTGTTATTTTCATAGGTCAGCTTTAGTCGCAGCTGGGTCTAGTCTCCTTCCTCGGTAAACGAGGCTGAACTCACAAGAATACCCACGAGAGCTCTGAGCACCCAGTTCGCCTTCTCTATTGCCAGAACCACCATAGGCCATTAAATGACAACTTCCTGAATTACCTTAAAATGGGAGTGCCATCCCCAGGCGACGTGGAACCATCCAATTGGCACAGGACGGAAGAGGGATAACAGAAATTCGCAGGAACACAGGCATGAACAGTCCCAGCCTCCACCACCAAAAGCACACCCTTCCCATCTCCTCCCCTGTCTATAGCAGGCATGTCCGGGAGGTCTCTATTTTATCCCTGGAGGTACTGAGTGAAAACGGAGGCCATCTGGAGCCTCCCTTAAGGTAGGAGATGAGGACTGGGGTGAGAAGAGACTATCTTTGGGACAAAGCTAGGTTTATTTTTGTTTAAATTGGCTCAAAAGCTAAATTCTTTAGAGAGTTTTTCTTTAAAAAATATGGCAGCATGAGACCCAATATATCACAGTAAAATTAACCTTCCAAATTAAACTTATTCTATTCTAAAATATGTAACTTACCTGTCTATTTAATGACTTGTTGTTAAAAGGTGTCCAGGCACTAAATCTTGTGTGGAAACTCTCCATTTCTGGGGTTCTCCAGAAAGAATCCCCAGCTGACATCTCAGCAAATTTTCTTCCACTTCTAGAAACTACAGGTTTATTTCAATAGATGTGCAATTAAAATCACCTAGAAATATCCAATATGTTAATGTCCTTATAGGAATTACATAATTATAGAAATTCACATACAACATATAGATATACAATGAATTATAACAATTCATGTGTGTATGTGTGTGTGTGTATGTGTGTGTGTGTATATATATATATATATATATATATATATATAAAATAAACCATACAAATATATACAAAAATCCCATGAACTTCAAATCATTGCAATTATTCTATTCTTACATACTTTCGCCCACATCTGAAATCTCGCTTCTGTTGCTCAGACTGGAGTGCAGTGGCACAATCTTGGCTCACTGCAACCTCTCCTCTTGGCTTCAATCCGTTCTTCTACCTTAGCTTCCCAAGTAGCTGGGATTACAGGTGTGAACCACCATGCTTGGCTAATTTATGTGTTTTTAATAGAGACGAGATTTTGCCACGTTAGCCAGGCTGGTCTCAAACTCCTTGACCTCAGATGATTGCCCGCCTTGGCCTCTTAAAGTGCTGTGGTTACAGGCGAGAGACACTGTGTCTGTCCAAAAGCAAGAATTTGAAGTGCTGGAAGATGACATTCCACCTGCCCATCTTTTCAGGTCAGAGGTCAAAGAGGATATAAAGAAAATAGGCTAATGTATTATTTATTGCTGCATAACAAATTACTCCAAAAAATTTCATCTTAAAACAACAAACAGTTATTCAAAGCTTCTGTGGTTCAAGAATCCAGGCACAGTTTATGGGAGTACTGTCTTAGCCTAATAGGCCTGCCATAACAAACTACCGCAGACTGCGTGAATTGAACAGAAATTTATTTTCTCACAGTTCTAGAGGCTATAATTCCAAGATTAAGATGTCAGTAGTGTCAGTTTGGGGAGGCTTCTCTCCTGGCCACCTTCGCACTGTGTCCTCACGTGGCCTTTCTTCCTCGTGCATGCAGAAACAGAGATCTCTGGTGTTTCTTCTTCTTTCTGCTTCTCCTTCTCCATCTTTTGAGACAGTGTCTCCCTTCTGTTGTTCAGGCTGGAGTGCAGTAGGGCAATCATAGCTTACTGAGCTGGGTGCGGTGGCTCACGCCTGTGATCCCAGCACTTTGGAAGGCTGAGGTGGGTGGATGACTTGTGGCCAGGAGTTTTGAGATCAGCCTGGCCAACATGATGAAACCCCATCTCTACTAAAAATAGAAAAATTAGGGCCAGGCACAGTGGCTCATGCCTGTAATCCCAGTACTTTGGAAGGCTGAGGCAGGTGGATCACCTGAGGTCAGGAGTTCGAGACCAGCCTGGCCAACCTGGTGAAACCGCGTCTCTATTAAAAATAAAAACATTAGCCAGGGATGGTGGCGGGCTCCTGTAATCCCAGCTACTCGGGAGGCTGAGGCAGGAGAATCACTTGAACCTTGGAGACAGAGGTTACAGTGAGCTGAGATCATGCCTTTGCACTCCGGCCTGGGCAAAGAAGTGAGGACCCATCTCAAAATAAATAAATAAATAATAAATTATCTGGGCATAGTGGCACATGCCTGTAATTCCAGCTACTTGGGAGGCTGACACAGGAGAATCGCTTGAATAGGGAGTGGAAGTTGCAGTGAGCCAATGATCATGCCACTGCTCACCAGCCCTGGGTGACAGTGAGACTCCATCTAAAAAAAAAAAATCATAGCTTGCTGTAACCTTAAACTTTTGGGCTCAAGAGTTCTTCCTGCCTCGGCTTTCCAAAACACTGGGATTACAGATGTGTGCTGCACCAGTCGGCCGGGCGCAGCGGCTCACGCCTATAATCCCAGCACTTTGGGAGGCCGAGGCAGGCAGATCACGAGGTCAAGAGATTGAGACCATCTTGACCAACGTGGTAAAACCTGTCTCTACTAAAAATACAAAAATTAGCTGGGTGCAGCTACTCCAGAGGCTGCGGCAGGAGAATTGCTAACCGGGAGGCACAGGTTGCAGTGAGCCAAGATTGCACCACTGCACTCCAGACTGGCACCTGGCAACAGAGACTCTGTCTCAAAAAAAAAAAAAAAAAAAAAAAGGACACCAGTCCTCTCAGATTAAAACCCATGACCTTATTTAACCTTTATTATTTCCTTATAGGCACTGTCTGCAAATACAATAATATTAGAGGTTAAGGTTATAACATGAATTTGTGGGAGGAGGGGATACAACCCAGTTCATAACCAGTACCTCTGTGTCAAGGGCTCTGAGAAGGCTATGGTCAAGGTGTTTGCAGGGATCACAGTCTCACTGAAGGCCCTGCAGCTCATTTGTGTGGTTGTTGGCAGGATTTCATTCCTCATGTTCTGTTGGACTGAGGACGGCAGTGCTCACCAGCTGCTGGCTGGGGGCCTCCCTTGCCTTCTCTGCTACATGGCCCTCTCCATAGGACAGCTCCCATGGCAGCAGGCTTCTATCACAGTGAGCAAATGAGAAAGCAAGAGAGGGCACAGCAGAGGGAAGCCACAGTCTCTTTGTAACCTAACCTCAGAAGTGACATTTCGTCACTTTCGCTATATACTGTTGGTTAAAAGCAAGTCACCAAGTCCAGCCCACATTCAAGGGGAGAGGATTAGATGAAGCATGAATAGTAATAGAACCTATCATAGTTTACCATTTGGATCAGTTCCCTTCCTTTCGCACATGCAGAACATACTCACACATTTTTAAGGAAAACAACCCCAAAGTTCCATCTCATCAATATTTTTAGCACAGAGTTCCTGAGCTAAGAATGATTCACAAGAGTCTCTCTGTGGATACAGATATAGCTCTCTTTGATCCAAATATCTTTGAACTAAAAAAACAAGTTTTCTGGTCCTTGCCTCTATAAACAATATAAATTATGGTAGAACGGGGACAGACAACTGCAACAGATAGTCCCATTCTTAAAGAAGGATGACATATTCAATGATTCATAACAATCCTGAAATGCAGCTACAGAAGGCTGCGGCCCAGTGATCATTTTGTCTCCAACAATCACATTCTCTTTGAGTCCATGCCAGTGATTCCCTTGACAATGCCACTTCTTAAAATATATCCCAAATTATGCATTTAATTCTAAGCAGTGCTATGTGTCACAATTGTTTAGAGACATTTTTGGAGTGTCTCTCTAAAGATGGAAGCCTCTCTCTAAAGTTAATTACAGATATTTTGAGCCTATCAGGCTTCCTTAGAAAAAGCCAAACCCGAAGTCTTCCTTCCCTGAGATGTTTTTCCAGCTGAAAGTATTTGCTGGGCACCACCTTGTTTCATTCAGAGCTTCTAACAATGGTGTGACAACCATACTTTTGACTTGGTCCTTGCCAATAAGCAGAGTTTTCAGCATCATTTCATGCTCAAAGGCCTTATCAGTCTTCTCTTTACTAGCTAAAGATGTGAATCAGTTATTCCTTCCAACTGTGCAAATCCCTGAGTTTTGAGGCCCCCTCTAAATTCTTTTACATTCCTGATTGCAAACCAGTCAAATATTTTCTGAGCTCCTCTATTTCTTTTAGTACTTTGACAAATGTGGCCTGTAGTAATAAACTCATTCTAATAACATTCATTTTCTACCTCTTTGCATAAAGTACAAGCTCATTAGGTATATGATATGCCCTTTAATCTACTCCAGCCTCTAGTTTTAACAAATTTTTCCAACTGCATAACATGGATTGCCATCTTTTCAGGTCTTCAACAATTTCATGCTGCCAGATTGGATGTTAATGCCACATAATTGAGAATGTGTTGCTGTTGTTACGGCAACATCCTACTCCTAGAGCCAATTTCTGTATCTACCAAACATTCAAGGAAGAAATGACACTACACTTACACGAAATCTTCCAGAGAATAGAAAAAGAGGGAATGATTCCCAAGTTCTCTGATGATGTTGGTATAACTTTGTATAATCTTCACACCAAAACTTAAGGACTTTACAGGAAAGAATTATTACAGGTATATTACCATAAATATGGATGCAAAAACCCTACCAAATATTAGAACACAAAACTCTGCAATATATATAAAAGATCATATATCACGACCAAGTTGGATTTATGTAAATTTTGTTTGACATTACAAAATCAATGTACTTCTCATCATGAACAAAAGAAAAAAGAGAGAAAATTATATGATAATCTCAGTATATACAAAGAGTTTTTGTTTATTTAGCCAGGATCTTGCTTTGTTACCTAAGCTTGGGTACAGTGGCTTGATCTTAGCTCATTGCAGCCTCAACCTCCTGGGTTCAAGAAAGCCTCCCACCTCGGCCTCAGCTGGGACTACAGGCAGGCACCACTGTGCCTCGGCCTCCCAAAGTGCTGGGATTTCAGCTAAGAGCCTTGCAGCTGGCCCAAAAAGTGTTTTTGATAAACCTCAATACCCCTTGATGACAAAAAGATCTCAGCAAACCAGGATGAGAAGGGAACTTCCTAATCTGAGTAAGGGCAAATACAATAACCTATAGCAGACATGACAGTAATCGTAAAATGCTAAAACTTTCTCTCTGTTCACTACCATTGTCTTTATTTAACATTGTTCTGGAGGGTCTTTCTGATGTGATAAACCAATAAAATAAAATGCGTAATTTTTTTTTTTTTTTTAAATGCCAGGGACAGTGGCTCACACCTGTAATCCCAGCACTGTGGGAGGCTGAGGCAGGTGGATTACTTGAGGCCAGGAGTTTAAAATGAGCCTGGCCAATATAGCAAAACCCCATCTCTGCTAAAAATAGAAAATGTAGCTGGGCATGGTGGTGCATGCCTGTAGTCCCAGCTACTCAGGAGGCTGAGGCAGGAGAATTTCTTGAACCCGGGAGGTGGAGGTTGCAGTGAGTCGAGATCATGCCACTGCAATCCAGGCTAGGTGATGAACTGAGACACTGTCTCAAAAAAAAATTAAATTGTCATCATGTATTAGTAGCATAATCGTATGTAGAAAAGATAAAGAATGTACAGATAAATTGACAGATTTTATAAACAAGCTTGGCAAGGTTGCTGCACACTGGGCTTCCATACAGAAATCAATTGTTTTTCTGTATACTAACAACATTTAATAAGCAATAATATATCATTTATAATAGCATTTCAAAATCCAGTACAGGCAGAGGCAGGAGGGTTGCTTGAGTCTGAGAGTTGCAAGACCATGTGTCTAAGAAATTTTTTTTTTTAATTAGCCAAGAATGGTGGTGCATGCCTGTAGTCCCACCTACTCTGGAGGCTGTGGTGGGAGGATCACTTGAGTACTGGAGGTTGAAGTTGCACTGAGCTGTTATCTTGCCCCTCCAGCCTGGGCAACCAAATGAGACCCTGTCTTGAAAAAAACAAAAATTAAAAACAAAATTTGATATAAATCAAGGTAGGACAAGTATTCCACACAGAATACTAAAAGTTTTATCCAGAGAAAATTTTTAAAGATCTAAAGAAGTGTATACATCTGGGAAGATATTGATTCTTCTAAGTTAATCTATTACTCAATACAATCTCATGAAAACCCAGCAGGTGTAGTGTGTGTGTGTGTGTGTGTGTGTGTGTGTGTGTGTGTGTGTGTGTGCATGGTTGTGTGTTTGACAAACTGATTATAAAATGTGTATACAAATGTAAAGAGTCAAGACTAGCAAAGATAACTTTAAGAAAAACAAAGTGGTTGGACGTACTCTACTTGATATCAGGACTTCCTTTTTATAAAGCTAGTGTAAATAACAGCATGAGATATTGGCACAAGAATAAACAAACCAATGGAATAGAGCAATTAGTCCAGAAACAGACTCACATACATATGGACACTCGACCTATGACAAGGGTGGCACTGCAGAGCCGTGGGATAGATGACTCCAGTCAGTAACACATGGGGTAGAACGAGTGCCCAGCTGAGCCCAGTTGACCCTTGGAACCATAAGAAATAATAAAGGATTGTTGTTTGAAGCCACTAAATTTCGGGATGGTTTGTTATCCAGCAATAACAAAAAATTGGCACCTGGAAGTAGATTATTGCCATAATATAACTTAAAACATATGGCACTGATGTTGGGACTGGGCAAGTGGAAATTAAAAGGGCGTAGAGGAGACAGTTTAGTGCAGTTTAGAAAAGCAGTGACATTGTTACAAAAGGCTAGTGAGACGACGGCATTAGGTAGCAGTGGAAAGTTTAGTAACACTGTTACCTGCACTAATGTGGAGGATAGAAAATGTGTCAATGAATTTATAGACCCGGCTAAAGAAATTGTGAGCAGAATATAGAAAGCGCTGATTGGAGGCCAGGCGTGGTGGTTTATATGTGTAGTCCCAGAACTTTGGGAGGCTGAGGTGGGCAGATCACGAGGTCAGGAGATTGAGACCATCCTGGCTGACATGGTGAAACCCCATCTCTACCAAAAATACAAAAAATTAGCAAGGTGTGGTGGCAGTTACCTATAATCCCAGCTACTCAGGAGGCTGAGGCAGGAAGTCACTTGAACTTGGGAGGCGGAGGTTGCTGTGAGCAGAGATCACACCACTGTACTCCAGTCTGGGTGACAGGGTGAGACTCCATCTCAAAGAGAAAAAAAAAAAGAAAGTGCTGATTGGCTTCTTTAGTTGCCCAAGGTGAGAGATATGAATTAATCTGAAAAATTGATTTAGTTTTTGGGTAAATATTAGTGATAAAGAATACCTAGGCCAGGTGCGGTGGCTCACGCCTATAATCCAGCACTTTGGGAGGCTGAGGCAGGTGAATTGCTTGAGCTCAGGAGTTTGAGACAAGCCTGGGCAACATGGCAAAACCCTGCCTCTACAAACAATACAACAATTAGCGGGGCAAAAAAAAAAATTACCTTTGGGACAGCAAGAACAACCTTCCTCTTTCTCTTCCTCCTCAGCCCACTCAACATGAAAATGATGAGGATGAAGACCTTCACGGTGATTCACTTCCACTTAATGAACAGTGAATATATTTTCTCTTCCTTCTGATTTTCTTAATAACATTTTCTTTTCTCTACTCTATTGAGTGAATACAGTATGTAATACACATAACATATATTATGTGTTAATCGACTGTGTTATCAGTAAGACTTCCAGTCAACATAGGCTATTAGCTACGTTTTGGGGGAGTCAAAAGTTACATGTATCCAGGAACAGTGGCTCACAACTGTAATCCCAGCATTTTGGGTGGCTGAGGTGGGCGGATCGCGAGGCCAGGAGTTCGAGACCAGTCTGGCCAACATGGCGAAACCCCATCTCTACTAAAAGTACAAAAATTAACCAGGCGTGGTGGTGGGCACTTGTAATCTCAGCTGATCGAGAGGCTGAGGCAGGAGAATTGCTTGAATCTGGGAGGTGGAGGTGGCAGTGAGCTGAGATTGCACCACTGCACTCCAGCCTGGGGGACAGAGTGAGACTTCATCTCAAAACAAACAAACAAACAAAAAAAAAAAAAACATGAATTTTCAGCTCCACTGGGAATCTGTGCCCCAAACCCCCACACTGGTCAAGGGTCAACTGTAAGAGAGTTTCAAAAAATCTGAAAGTCTTTGTCCCACAGCACCCTGATCCACAGCCCACCTGTGGATATAGCTTCTGTCTAATATAATAAATTACAATTAGATACATACAAAGCCCATAAAATCGTCAAGAGTCTTGTTCTTATGAAAGCATGGCCAGCTTGAAATAAGAAGGACCAAAAAATTTTGAAATATAAAGTCTCTGAGCCACCATTTTAAGCCGAGTGTTGAGGGAAACAGGTAACGTGTCTTTTGAGCCCAGCGGTCTCCAGACTGAGAGGAGTTATGAACAAGAAGCCTCATTTGCAGCGGGACCTGATAGAGATCATGAGACTGGGCTTCAAGCCTCATACCGTAATTGGAAGACACTGCTGGTGTCTTGGTGTGAAGTAGATGTACTCTGTGTGCTGCCAGTGTGAACTGTGGCCAGAGGGAGGAACACAGCATATTGTCTGTGCACATGCCCAGGAACAACTGCTTCCATCCCTGTACCCACAGACCAGTTCTCCATCAAGAGGTAAAGTCTGTTATTCTCCCTCTCCTTGAATCTGTACCAGCGCTGGCTTGTTTCAACCAATGGATGTTGTGGAAATGATGGTGTGTGACTTCTGGACATGGACCTTAAGAAGACTTGCAGCTTCTATTTTGGCAGTCTTGGAATCCAGCTGTCATGTGAATAAGCCTGGGCTGGAATACTGGATGACAAGAGACCATATGGAGAGAGCTTGAGCCAGCCCCCAGCTGTTTCAGCCACCTCCGTCAAAGTACCAGATGTGCAAATGAAGTCATCTGGGATATTTCAGTCTCAACCAAGCTCCCAGGTAAGTGCAGCCACATGAATCACCCAAACTCCCAACATGCAAAGCAGAAGGACTGCCCAACTGAGGCCAGGCAACCCATAGAATTGTGAAAAATAACACATGATTCCTATTTCAAGCTAGTAACCTTTGGAATGGTTTGTTATCCAGAACAGACTGACAGCGCCATGTGTTGGTAAGCATCCAGAACTCTCACATACAGCTGGGAAAAGTGCAAATTGGTGTATGTACTTTCAAAAACTATTTGGCGTTATTTCCTGAAGAATGCCAAACTTGACCTAACCGAATAAAAGGATACATATGGACTAAAATATATCACCAAGAATATGCACAGCTGCACTGGATAGTTCCCGACTGGAGAGAACCCAAGCATCCACCAATAGTCCAGTGGAGAAAACTGCTGTCATGCATTCATGTGGTAGAATACTATACATCAATGCAATGAACAGTCTGCTGCTACACAAAACAGTGAGAATGAGTCACACACAGAGCACATTACACAGAGGAAGCTGGGAACAAAATAATACATATGACATGAGTTCATTTACCGAAGTTCTACCCTGTAGTGTTAGACGTCAATATAGGGTTTAAGTGGGGGGAGGAAAGAGAGGGTAACGATTGGGAGGGGATTCAAGAGGTGATTCCACGTGCTGGTGCTGACCGAGAAAGGGGGCCCTAGACTTCTGTGCATGCTGTGATTCATTGAATGCTACACTTACGATCCGCATGTTTTTCTACATTCTCTATTTCAATCAAGAAGTTTATAAAATGATATCATTTACAATAACATCAAGTACTATTAAGTACCTAGAAAAAATTTTAAAAGGGCAAACTTTATGAAGAAAATTATAAAACTTGATTAAAAAATATTTTTAAAGTCCTAAATAAATGGAGAGATACGTCTTACTCATGGATTAGAGGACTCAGTGGAGTGAAGAGATTAACTCTTTCAACTTGATCTACAGATTCAACTCAATCTCAGTAACAAGTTGTCGGGGGTGTGTGTGTGTGAAAGAGTGTGTGTGTTGGGGGGGAAGCGTAAAACTTCAAAGCTGATTCTAAAATATTTATGGAACTTTAAAGGGCCAAAACCAGTCAAGGCCGTCTGGATAAACAAGGAAGGGAGACATGTTTCTAGATATCAAGACTTGCTAAAAAGCTGTAGTGATAAGATGATAAGGTATTAGTTTGGGGACAGACAATAAACCTGTGGAACAGAAGAGAAACTCCAAAATAGACCCACGTATAGAGGGGCACTTGTTAGATGACAAATCAGAAGCAGAAGGGTGGTTTGTTTCATTTATAGAAAATAGATTATCTGTTTTAAAAAAGAGAGAAGAGGAATTGGACCCCATTCTCACACTATACACACACACATCAGCTATCTAAAGTTTTTTCATATATATAAAATCAATTACACATGGTCTGTGAATCCCCAGAAGACAAAATTAAGAACAGTGGATGATGTCAGAGGGAAAGATTTTGGCTCAATCTAAGTGGGAAAAAAATCACTTCACAGCTCTAGCTGTCTCCAGGGATTGTCCATTACTGGGGTTTGTAAAACTCAAGGTGGACAAACACTTGTCAGTGATGCTCTAGCTGGGATTAAAGTATCACAAACATCTAAGTTTCTAAGCAACTCTCTGTTGCTGTAAATTCCAAAAGAGAGAGTACAGCGTGGCTTGGTATAGCTGAAAAAACTTTATTTATTTATTTATTTTTTGATATAGAATCTTGCTCTCTTGCCTAGCCTGGAATGCATGGCACACTCTCAGCTCACCACAACCTCCGCCTCCTGGATTCAAGCAATTCTCCTGCCTCAGCCTCCCAAGTAGCTGGGATTACAGGTGTGCGCCACCATGCCTGGCTAATTTTTGTATTTTTAAGTAGAGTCAGGGTTTCACCATATTGGACAGGCTGGTCTCGAGCCCCTCACCTCGTGATCCACCCGCCTCAGCCTCCCAAAGT